GCGTTTCAGGGGTCCCCAGGACCACCCCCAGATGTGATTCCTTAGGACCCCAGGACTCGGCGGGTGGTGGTCGTACTCACGGCTCATTACAGTGAAAAGACAAAGTCCAGTATCCCCAGAGGGGAGGGGCCCGGGGGCCCGGGAGACCCGGCACCAGCTGCCAGCGCCCTCCCCACGAGCCCCCGGCCGGAGCTGTGACGACCGGCACCCTCTGCTTGGCCCAGCCCCAGGCCCCAGACTCCCAGCAGGAAGGCAGGGGCCCAGGACAAAGCACACTGGCACAGCGACCCCTCGGTCACTCGGGCGGTGGGACCCAGCCAAGGGCTGGTCTGGCTTCTGCCCAACTGTTCTTTTTCCTCGTGCAGAGTCTAAGGTTTTCTCCATTTTCCCTGTTTTGGGCAGTTTGCTTACAGCAGCCACGGTCTGTTCTCCTTGAGGTTTATTCTTCACGGGTTACGTCTCCTCGTTGGGCCTGGGGGTTTGCGGTTCTTACTGAATGTGCGGAGTCTGGCTGTAGTTCTTCACTCTGCTGAGCCTGATTCTGCCCATTTGCCTTTGGTCTTTTCTCTGCTTGGTTTTGGGCCGTGGCGGATGGAGTCCTGGGGGCACTGGGCGCCCTTTCTGCTGCTGCCCTGTCAGTCTCCTGGGCTCGCTGTAGCTGCCATTCTTTTCAGCCCCAGAAGCTCCACCGACTTTAACTGCGTCATCCCCTTCTTGCCTCCAGTCACGTGTCCTTTGCCTTTGGAACACGTGGTGCGTGTTCCTAATCTGTGTCCCCGCATCTCATTCTCAGGGCTCTCCCCCAGTGGGGCTGCGTGTCCCTGTTTCTCTGCTTGCCTGGTCGTGGCTGGTCGGATGCGCTGGATTTAGTCGGTGCCTTTGCTCGTGCCGGGCGCTGTTCCGATGATCGTTAGGCAGCTTGGAGCGTCGGGCCCTGTCCAGGTTTTTCTTAGGCCATCTTAGGGTACAGAGCCAGGTCAGTGCAGGGCGGACGTGGCCCCACCGTTAGGCCGCGCCCTTCCGGGGGCTTGGGCCGCAGGTGACCACAGCACGTGTGCGGCTCCTGACCCCCCAAGAGGCCACCCTCACACTGGCGCAGGGCAGGCTCGGCCAGGCGTTTGTCGTCCTTGGTGCGCGTGGTGGCGAGCGAGCGTGGCTGCGGGTGGGCGGGCTGGCCGGCCTGCCCCACATCCCACCGTCCCGTGTGTGCAGGGACAGTGAGGAAGGAGCTGGACCACGGCGACGGCCACCTGAGCCTGGACGAGACCACGAAGCTCCTTCAGGACCTGCAGGAGGCGCAGGCAGAGCGTGGGGGCTCCCGGCCGTCCTCCAACCTCAGCTCCCTGTCCAACGCCTCTGACAGGGAGCAGCGCCACCTGGGTGAGGCCGCCTCGTGCAGAGTGGCGTGGGCCGCGGCCGGGAGGGCCCTGGCCCCTGGGGTTCCCGGGCCAGGCGGCAGCACTGAGGTGAAGGCTTTGGGTGGGACTCAGTCTAGGGATCTGGGGGCTTGGCCGGAAGGTGCTGCGGGTCCTGTATCAGGAGGAGCCCCAAGCGTGGACCTGCCAGCCTCCGGAGTGAGGGCCTGGGAACGTTGCTCTCTTTCTGCCGTTCCTACTTCTGGTCCTGAAGCAGAGTGTGGACGAGTGTGTTCCTGCAGGACCCTCGTGTGGGGGGAGCACAGGACCTTGCTTGGCCTGGGAGTCCCCTGTTGAACCAGTGAGGGTGGGTGGGTGTATCGGGACCCCGCCCGGACAGTGCGTCTCCTGGCTGCTTGAATGTGCTAGATGAGTCCTCACGGTGCTGTTTTAGTTCCCAGATACAGACACTGAGCTACTCTTTCAATGTAACAGGTCTTGGCGTTTGGGGGAGGGGGTGATGAGTGGTCACCTGTAGGTAGAGGTTTGGCTGAAACTGTCTTAAGGATCAGCATTTTGGTCCCGTTAACCTTGTGATAAAGGCATGTGAAGGAGGTTCCAGGTGAGCGTGGGGCAGCTCCAGATATGAGGGCCCCAAGGTCCTGATGGACTCAGGGGCTCCTCCGGAGCCTGGGGTTGTGTGAGGGCCCCCGGCCGAGGAGCCTTCCTTCCTGCAGAAGCAGCAGCCCTGCTGCGTGGAGGCTCGGGGCCCCCTTTCTGGGGCCATCAGGTGGCCCATCCCTGGGAGCCACGGCTCGGGGCTGAGGCCCGGGCTCAGCTGACTGCAGCCACGTGGACGTTCGTGTTCAGCACACGTGCATTTGTAGCTTTTAAAGTCCCGTGGAGCAGCGATGCCCCTGAAGGAGGGTCCTGAGCTGCGCGCGTGTGGCAGACCCAGGGGTGACACGTCCCTTCTCTCCCGTGATTGCAGGAAGCCCTTCTCGCCTCAGTGCTGGGGAGCAGCCCGAGGGGACCCACGACCCGTACGAGTTTCTTCAGTCCCCAGAGCCCGCAGCCTCCACAAAGAGCTAGCCCTGTAGGTGGCCTTTGGTTGTTTCTGATTTTGTAAGCTGTTACTTGCATGTACAGAGTTTTTGTCATGAGACGAAGACTTTCATTTTGTCCCCTTTGGCGTGCGGGAGGCAGCCCCGGGAGGTGGCGACGTGTCTGTCATCGTGTTAGCCACACTGGGATCTGTCATCGTGTTAGCCGCGCTGGGATCTGTCACCGTGTTAGCCGCGCTGGGATCTGTCACCGTGTTAGCCGCACTGGGACGCAGCGTTTCTGTGGATGGCCCTGTGCGTCCTGAAGAGCTGGAGATCACTCGTAAAGGGTGTGTGACCAGACGCCGGGAAGCTGGTGTGGTCTGTCTCTGAGCTTCTCGGTGGCGGTGAAGTCCTCCTCTGTGCCTGTGTGGATGCACCTGTCTGCCCCGCGTCCTCCGGGAGAAGCCTTTGAGAGGCAGACGTGGGTGCGGCCTGTCTCTGTTCCCTGCGGCATCCTACACGTTCCCGCCCCGCCCGTGCCCCACGTCCCCACGTTTCCCAGGCGGGTCATGGCGGGGGCCGCGTGGGGGCTGGGAGTGAGGGCAGCGTCCCCCGTTCTCTGAGCCTTGTGCTGAGAGGGGCGCCCCCTGCTCAGAGCTGGCCTGTTCTGGCCACGGCGAAGGGTTAAGTGTCCGAAAACGCTCTTTGTTCTGGCTGTGTTTACTGGATGCCTGTTTGTATTTGCAAAATGTAAGTATAGATCTTAATAAAAAGATACACAAAGAGTGTCGTTACACGTAGTTATTTATAGCACTGCTAGGTGTCCCTTTCTGCGTGACTCAGTAAAAACTCTAGTCATGCGAGCTGGGTGGCATCTTCTAGCCCCGTCTCCTGTGGTCTCCTCTGCATCTGGCCCGGTTCTTGGCACCGCAGCGACGTCCAGGGTCACGCCCATCCCCGCACAGTTTCTCGCTGTGAACGTAAAACCGGAGCCTCCGTTACCTCCCGGGGCAGGGTCAGTCCTGGGGGAGGCGTGTGGCCGAGAGGCCAGGGAGCAGGGCTGGCTGCCTCACTGTCTGGACAGATGAGGATCCCCGTGAGCACCAGGGAAAGGGGAGCACAAGACATCTCACAGGCGAAGTGTCAGGAGCAGCTGTGGCTGCTGTGAGCAGATGAGTTTATCAGCAGGGCTGGTACGGAGCAGACGCCCAGGGGGGCTGGAGGGCAGCTGTCCTCCCTACCTACACGGGGCCGCAGCCCGGCCCCAGAGCTGGGCCCGAACCCTGTGGCTGGCCCTCCACTGCCCTGCAGGCCCCCCCAGCCCCCCACCTCAGCCACCGCCCCAGCTGCAGGGAGGCCGGGAGGGGGAGGATCTGGATTTCCACCCTTGGGATGGCGGTGGGCTCTGCCCCCACCAGGGCTCAGGAGGCTGGGACCCCTGCACATCCCAGGCGGGGTCCCCACGGTGCAGCCCCGCGGGCGTGGCCTCTCCCTGGCCCGCAACCGGAGTTCTCCAGTAGACGCCAGCGTGACGTGGGGTATAACACACGAGGGCAAGTCCGCCGAGACACAATATGAGTCCCTGGAGCCCAGACTCCCCTGAGGGCATGGTCTCCACCACAATGGCCGTGTCAGCTGTGAACACAGGAGGTCGGACCCCGTGCCTGCACGCGGCAGGGTGTCCCAGGGACCCGCACTCGCCGGACGGAGTCTGGAGCACACGGTGTACAGGGGAGCCCGCCTTGCCGCTCGGAGCTGCACGCCCGCTGGGAAGGACAGCCCTCCAACCAAGGCCCCCATGTTTTCGTAAACCACCATCTCTCAAATTCCAGAGCTTTCCATCACCCCGAAAGGAAACCTGCACCGATTGGAAGCCACCCCCAGGTCCTCCTCCTCCCACCCTTGGAAACCACTCTGCTTGCGGCCTCCGCGGACGTCCCTGCCCTGGACATTGTGTTCAAGTGGAATCATGCGCTCTGCGCCCTTTGGGGTCTGGCTTTTCTCAGCACAGTTTTCAAGGGTCATCCATGTTGTAGTAGGTGTTAGTGGGCCTCTGTGGGTGACCTGCCCTCACCACAGACCCTGCCGGGGCTCAGGCCACTCCTGGGGGTGTCGCGGCCGTGAAGCCGGGGGACCTGGGGCCTCCGTGCCAGGCCCTCTGCCTAAGGAAGCCGGCAGGATCCCAGCCGAGACCCGCAGGCGCTCTTGGTCAGAGTAACTGCCCAGCTGGCTGGGGCGGACGGGGCTGGCTGCAGGTCCCACGGGGGACTGTTGACTTCCCGGAGAGAGGAAACAAAAGGCTGCTTCCGGGAGGCCGCCTGGGCGGCGGTGCGGCATGGCCAGCGTCCGTCGTCTCACAGCGCTTTTCTACCGGAAACTTTCTTCAGAACAAGGCCTGTGAGGGGCGCGTGCGTGCGCCGGTGGGCACTGTGCCAGCGCCCACGCCTGCCCCGCGCTCCGCCCGCTGCCCTCTCCGGCGTGGCCACTCCCCCTCCGCGCCCACCTGGGCCCCCACCTGGGCTGGAGACCCTCCCAGCGAGGGCCGCTTTCCTGGCCCGGGTGCGCACAGGCAGGCTTACAGAGCGCTACTTAGCACAAGAGGCGTGAGCGCCCTGAACTCCAGGCCTGTTGATCCGTCCCTCTGTGAAGACCAGGTCGGGGGTCTGGGTCGGGGAGGGGACGCAGCAGCAGTCTGGGGACAGGAGCGGGCCGAGGTGGGTTTAGGTGTGGAGAGGCCTGGCTGCCCTGGCCGAGGATCGTGGCTGTGCATGTTCACGTGGCGAGCGGGCCCTGAGTTTGTAGCTTTTACAGTTGTTCCATGGAGCAGCGATGCCCCTGAAGGAGGGTCATTTCTCCAAAGTGTGAGCAGCTGAGTTCCCCAGGCCCCGGGCTAGTCGGGAGGCCCTCACGAATGCAGACTTGGGGTGCCCTGGGAGGTGAGCGCCTGCCCCTCAGTCCCAGGTGGCCTCCTTCAGAGTCACGGGCGATGCCCTGGGGCCAGCTGGACTTGGGGGGCACTTGGTGTTGAGGTCATCAGCCCCCCAAACCCGGAGGGTGCCGGCTCCCCTGCACCGGTCACCGGCCTCACGTGTGTTTCTGGAGAAGCGTGTTCTGTGCAGGAGGCTTTGGGGACGTTCCTCTTAACCAGAAAGCATTCTGAAGAACCGTGAGGACGCGCTGACCAGCAGCCTGGGTGATGCCTGCTGCAGGCAGGAGCTGTGGCTGCCCCAGGGCTCCCAGGGCCCGGACCTTGGGAGAGGGAGTGCACGGAGTAAGCGCCACGCTCTCTGCGGGGCTGAGCTGTGCTTTCAGTCACCAGAGCTCACGGCTCAGACGCCACAGCCCGTGGCCTCTGCTGCACTCTCGCGGTCACACCCTGCTCGGGCGGCCTCATGGTCTGCCCTGGGGCTCGGGAGGCGTCTGTGGGCCCCTGGGCAGTACCGTGGACGGCAGCGGCAGCGTGGGGCCGCCTGGTCCCGTCCTGGGCGCCTGCCTCCCTGGGAAGTGCGTTCTGGGTTGAGGTGCCAGCCCGGGCCTGCTCACGGCGGGCACCGCGCGCAGGGGCCCTGGAAGCAGCCCGCAGCCCCTCATTCCCTGGGGCCCCAGGTGGGCGATCCCGGGAGGCCCGTGGCCCCCCACACCCCTGCCGGCTGTGGTCAGCCGGGATTTCCAGGATGGGCATCCTCATCCCGGTGGTGCTTTGCTCCCAGGACAGTGCCGTCGGGCCAAAGGCAGCACTGCGGTTTGAGGGAATGGACACCAGGTGAGCAGGGAGGGGCTGGTCAGGCTGGGGCACAGGGCTGACCAACAGCAGAGTCAGCCTCCACCTCTGCTGCCGGCCCAGCAGAAGGTCCCCGACCCGTGGAGGATCCCCCCTCTCCTAACCGGCCCCCAGCCCCACCCAGGGGGCCTCGTAACCTGCCGGCCTCTCCACTCGTGCCTCTGTCCATCTGCGCCGGACCCAGCCATCCCCGCAGGTCCCGGCAGTAGGGCCGCCACACTGCTTGGAGGAGGTCAGCTTTCCGCTGCCCGGCCTGCCCGGCGCCGTGGCTCCTCAGGAAGGTGATGGGGCGTGGACGGCCGGAGCCTGCGAGAGGCCGCCTCTGTGGACGGAGAGGGGACATGTCCCTGTCCACCCTCCCTGTCCCACCCAAGGAAGGATCGCAATCGGCGATTGGCAGCACTCGGGGCCTTCAGATAGGAGTCCTCGGACACCACACTCAGGAACCAGGACTTTCTGGAGCTTAGGGATCGAGACGATGTGGCGAGAGGCGTGCGGGGAGGAGGGGCCCTGAGCCAGCGGGCTGGCCACCCTTGCGGCGTGAGCTGCCCGCTCGGCACTGTGTCCACATGCCCCGCGCTCCCCTCCTCGCCCCGGCCGTGGCCCTTCCGCGGCCTTCAAGGGGGCACCTGGGGTGTCAGGCTGGGGGAGCGCAGCCCAGACAGAGGCGCCCACACCCTGGACAGAGCCTGCAGTCTCGGCTCCTGGGTCAAGTGTGAGGACGAGGTTGTAATGGACGCCCTGGCCTCCCCCGGCGTGAGCTGCTGAAGCAGCAGGTCGGGGGCACGAGCCCACCGCCTTTTCACCGAGGGCTGGAGTTCTCCAGGCTCAGGCACGGGTGGTGAGGGTCCCTCCTGAGGGTCTCTTGGGCCCTGCGCCGCCCTGCCCCTCCCCTAGAGCTGGTGATGCGTTCCGGGGGCGGGGCCCCGGCTTTGTGATGCGTCTTGGGTGTCCATTCAGTGTAGCCACGAGACCCGGCTCCCCTCACTGGGCTTGGGCTGAGCGAGAGGCACCTTGCGTTCCCGCTCATCCAGGACCTGAGAATTGTGAGAGGAGTGAGGACAGTGTGTTCTGGCTGCGCGTCTGGCTGCGGGGAAGGCGGCTGCTTCTCTGCCCCTCCGTCTGCAGGGAGTCCAGGACCACGTGGGACGCGGGTGAGACACGGGTCCAGAAGCTGCCAGGATCTGTGCTGGGGGACGGTCAGAAAACGTGCTCACAGAGGTCGTGGTTGGCTCAGGACGCAGCGTGCAGCCAGCCCGATGACCTGTTCTGGGGAGGGTGGGGACGGGGTGGGGACAGTGTGGATGGGGCGGGAACAGACTGGGGACAGGGTGGGAGGGGCTGTGTCTGCACTGCGGACAGGTGAGTCAGGAGACCTGGGACCCTCCTGCTTCCATGACGACCATGGCCTGTGAGTCTTGGCCATGGTCGTGTCGGGGTCCTGGAGGTGACAATGACCTTACGGGTCATCCCAGCACCAAACACAGACTGGAGCCCCAGGGAAGATGGAAAACAAGATGCAGGAACCAAAGTGGGGCAAAAAGTGGACCCAGGCACCATGATGCCCCAAACAGGGCTAATTTCCTGAGCCCACCAGCAGCGGTCTGCCCTGTAGTGAAGTCAGAATGACCCAGAGGAGGCGGCACCAGGACAGGGCACGGAGGGAGAAGGCGGCTGTTACCGGGGGGCAGGGGCGGAAGGTGGCCCCCGGGCCCCGGCCCAGGAAGTAGCCCGGAGAGCACGAGCAGTGAGAGACGAGCCCAGAACCTGAGGGTGTGCAGCTGCGGTGGCTGCTGTGTGCGCTCTGTGCTGTGTCTGTATGTCTCTGTGTGGCGTGCTGTGTGTGTGTGTGTGGCGTGCGCGTGTGTGTGTTGTGTGCGTGCATGCGTGCGTGCGTGTGTGCGTGCGTGCATGTGTGTGTGGTGTGCATGTGTGTGTGTGCGCGTGCGTGCATGTGTGTGTGTGTGTGTGGTGGGTGATGTGTGTCCGCGTGCAGCAGCAGCGTGGAGCCGTGTCTCAGGACAGGCGGGGCAGGAGAGCCTGTCGCCGCGCCGGTCGCTGGGCCTGAGGGGCGCCAGTTCCGCCGTGCAGCGGTGGCCGCGGCGGCGGCGGGGGACCCGGCGCCTGGCGGGGTGCTGAGTGGAGAGCAGCCGGCAGGACGGGCCACGGCCGTGGTGGGAGCTGGAGCCGGACAGGAAGGCGGGGACAGTGCCGTCTCGGGGCAGAGGGCGCGGCCCCGCGTGAACGTTCCACGGATGACGAGCGCTCGCGGCCCTGCGTGGCTCTGGTCACCCCGCGTGTCCCCTCGGCCGCAGGGCGCGGCTCACGAGGAGAGGCGCGGGACGAGCGTGGGCCGCGGCCCCTCCACCCCGGCTGCTCTCTCCTCCCCCAGGTCCTCTTGGTCGGAACAGCCCAGCTGATCCCGACGTCCCAGCGCGGGGCCTGGGGAGGAAGGACTTCGGCCACGGCTGCCAGGTCTGCATGCAGGAGGCCCTGGGTCAGGGTCGGGGGGGCCCGGGCGCCACCTCGCGCCACCACGCGGCGGGCCTGCTGACGGGCAGGCGGGTGTCCGCGCGGCCAGCGCCGTGGGCTCCGGCTTTCGCTGAAGACCCACCCGCTCGGCCCTGCATTCTGAGCTTGAAGTGCCCGGGGTGTCAGGGTGACTCTCAGATCTGATGGAGTAAATCTTTTCAGATCTCTGGGGAAAGGTGAGTGGGTGCGCTTGAGTCTCCACGCCTCCCAGGGGCTTGCCCTGTCTCACCTTCAGTGACAGGCTGGCTGGTCCATCTCAGGACAGAAGACGCAGGACTTGAACTTTATAAATGCCAGTTACATCGTGTCATAGGTAACCTCAGTTTCTTCTTCCGGGACACCTGTAGGATCTGTGTCCTCGAAGCTCTCACTTTCACCACCGTAGATGTATTCTTTTTTCCACCGTCTGGTTCTTGGAGTATAATTTAGGGCTAAAGTCTTAAATCTCCTTGCAGTACAGACGTTGCTTCACTTTTTTTCTTTGTTTCTTCTCTTACACCCTCTTCCTTTTCCTCTTCTGGAAACCCTGGCAGACAGACATTGTGTCTGTGTCACTTAAATTTGCTTTCACAGTTATCCCCTCCACACGTCTCTGTTTCAAGATCTGCAGATTAATCCCTTGATGTGACCTTCCACGCCACTGAAGTTTGATTTTTGGCAACATCTTTTCTGTTAGTTGGCCCTTCCATCTGAATGCTCTCATCTGGGAATCATGTTTCAATACCAAGCCTGCCTTTCTGGGTTCTGAACCCCTGGTGCCTTGGTCGTGTTGTACAGATGTGCTATCAGATGCTCGTGAAACCCACGCAAGCTCAGGGCTGCTGCATCCCGATGTCCACATGGCATCACATCCAGAGGACCAGAGCAGATGACCGAAAGCTGTGGCCAGCAGCTGAAACCTGCTCTTAGGACAACCCCAAGGGGAAGTCACAGCTCACAGAAAAAAAAAGAGTCTTAGAATATCTTTCAACATTTCTGTCTCTTCCCAAAGTAACACATTAATAGCAGCTATATTTTCTGTGCACTTCTTTCCAAAGAGACAATGAAGGCTGTGCACAGGGCCTTCTGACCTCAAAGTTCCACCTGTAACAGCTATTAACATCCTTTCCCCGCTCCAACACCCCCAAACACCCGACAGCCACCCTGGCCACGTCCCTCCCTTTCCCAGTGGCCCTGCCCACCTGACTGGCCGGAAGGGCCACGGTTCCCTCCCACCCCCGGAGGGCCTGTCCCTGTGGAAGGAAGAACACAGGACTCTGGAAACGTCGCCTCTCCTGCTACAGGGGAAATTTGCAGGATTTCTGGTGGATGAAAGTGTCAGATGATCACACCAGCTACAGCTGGCTTTTCCTGCTCCCCTTTCGGTTTCCCTGGGGATGAGGACCTTTTCCTCACTGGGTCCCCCATATCCCATGAGTCTTCTGATGAGGCGTGTGCATCTGTAAACCAGCCCCCGGACTCATCGCTGCAAGTGGCCCCCAGGCCACGAGGGGCTGGTAGCTGCCCGCCCTGCGGTCATGGTGGGGGCCAGGGGGGTGCCCTTCGTTCCTCATCCAGGGGGCCACACACCCCCAAGAGCTGTTTTCCGCAGCTGTGATGTCACCGGGGCCCCGGGCGATGCTGGGCTGTGGGTCCCGCCCCCAGAGTCCCTGGGCCACGAAGGGCAGGAGCCCACGGCCTGCCATGCCCCGTCCTGTCTTGCAGATGGCGTTCTGGGCCAGGATCTCGAGGTTCCTCCTGCCAGGAACCACGTCCAGGAGGAGCACGAAGACCGTGCCCCCCCGGCGGCCCAGGGTGAGTGGCTGGTCGCAGCCCGTCCACTACTTGCAGATCGTGGCCTGGATCGTGTTCTTCATTCTGGTCTTCACCACCTTTGGCATCTTCATTCCCCTGCTGCCACCCGAGTGGAGATACATTGCCTACAGTGTATCCTTTGACTGGGGGCATTGCTGTCGTCTAAGGGG